TTATTTTATTTTAATTTTAAAATTTAATAATGAATTTTTAAACCCTAATAGTAAGTGTGTGCCCTTGTGTCCAAGCTTTGACAATATAATTAAAATAAATATTTGATTAATTAAAAACAAATTAAACATTATGTGTACGTTAGCCAGATGCCCTCTACAAACTGATAACGAGCGCTGCCGTCAGCGTCTGTCGAGACCCAACCCTAATACGGCTATTCACGGCGAAACCAGCTCCGATCTGATTGTTACTCTCACTCTGCCGTATTGGAGCCAGGCTCTGCACCCCGTCGGTGCGGTGGAAATTGCCGCCGAGATGGAGGACATCGAAGACGTCATCGCCTCAGGAACGCCGCCTGGTCTTCGTCTGCCTCTCACCACCGTGAGCATCAATCCCCGTCGAAAGCCCAAGTCCCGCGTCCTCCAAGATCCCGTGAAACCCAGTGCTCAGATCCCAGGCACACAGGTCTCTCTCTCTCTCTCTATGTCTTGCTGTTTAATTGTTTATGCATTTATGCCACCTTATTTATTTATAATTTCTGTAGACAATTTTCGTGAAGACGTTCGGGTGCTCGCATAATCAGGCAAGCTGTTTGTAATGTTTATGCTTTTGGAAGAGCATAGTTTTTTGTAATTAAATGCTTATTCTATTGTAAGTTGAACTCAGTTAGTAGGGAAAGGATGGATTTTCTGCTTCGGGTAAAGCAGTGCCATTCTAATCGAATTGGCTATACTTTCAACTGTGATGATAGTATAAGATTATAAATTTCTATTTAAACGTTTGGAGTTATCCTGAAAATGGCAGGAACTTGTAGAATGATCCTTTATAATTTAGTTTAATAACTATATTATAATCATGCAAGCATTTATATTTGTATATTAGCTTAATAACAATTCACATAGTAGCTTTATTAGTTCAATAACTAAATTATACTTTCATTTATCACCACATAGTTGGCATTTGTCACGATAAGTGATTAAATTGTCATTAAAATTAAAAATCTAATGATTTTTTGTTCATTTTATAAAGAGTAGTGGCCAAATTGTAAGGTAGATTTTTATCCTTTTAGGGTACCATTCCCATCTTATGACTAATTCATGGAAGGTAACCCAATTGTAAAACTTATTTCTTAACATTCCCATTATCAACAGCTAGATTGCATTTTTGAGAAGCATAACTGTTCAGTTTAATCGTTAAATCACTTCAAAGATTAGCACATTTAGTTGAATGCAGAAGTTCCTATGATGGCATAGCATTACATGAATTTCATTACATTGGTCCATTGATAGATCCTTTCGGTCCATATCTTCATCCAGACAATGTTCAACGCTTGATTATTAACATTTATTACTTTATTTACTTTGTTACTTGTGGATTCCATTGCGATTGCATCATCTTTTCACATTTAGTCAGGCCTTTGATGGCAACATTTGCTTAGCTAATCATTATGATGAAACTTTAATTTCAAGGGTCAATTACAAATGTACAACACGAACATTGCATATTTACAAAAGTAATATTCCAAATTGGAATATTAATTTCCAATGCTTTTATTTACAATACTACCAACCAACTTTTGAAGGACACGGAAAAAATAGAAACTTTCATTGTCAATTGTTTTCTGAACCCTTAATGATTTGGCTGTATAATAAGCAAATACACAGATTTAATAGTTCATTTTAATTGCCAATGTCTTAATTTAATAAATAAGAAAAATTTTGGTGGCAATGTGACACACATGAAAATCTCTTATTTCATTTCTCGATTCATTTTATGGAATAATATGACATATTTGTGTGAGTTTCACAGGTTCTATTATTGTAAACAAGTCCTTAAAGCTGACATTGTGAATATTGGAATGAATTGATGAATGAAATCTGTAATGCATTCTATTGCTAATGCTTTGCTCGTCCTACTCTTCCTTCCTAATGCTTTCCTTGACACAAACCTCTTACTCTTGTGAGTTCAATTCTCCCCTTTCTCCTTTCTATAGTTTCTCTCTCGTGTTCTTTTGTTTTGCTCTTGATTCTGATTGTTTAATACCGCTTTCTCACCTCCCCAAAGCACACCTCCAAAGTTTGCTGCCATCAACCCATTCAAAACCCTTAAAGTTGGAACCGGAATTCAGGTTTAACAGTTTGCACTGTACCCTGATTTATTGTTTCTCCCCTCAAACTACATTAGAAGCTCACAAAATTTTAGCACAATGTTCAGCATCCCCTCCTATCATATACACTGACCATTGAATCCTCCAAAATCTTGTTGCTTTAGAAACTGGTGGAGGAAACTGTTCCACTGAGATATGTTCTTTTCCCTGGCCCCTGCTCATCATTTTTTGGTTTCAGAGCATCTCAAGATGCGTCAACCTCCCCTTGAATATTGTGTTTTATAGGAAAACCATGACCAACTTCATCATTAAGAAAGAGGTCACTTAATCCATGATAATATACTGGAAGATGCCTTTCAGTCTTTTTGTTCTTCTGTTAAGTTGCCTGTTATATTGAAATTGGGTGCTATGAAATTCAACTGGCATTATGCAACACAACATAGAAACCACAAATGCCACATAAGCTTAATAAACAATTCGTTAAAGCTGTAATGCTGTGAGTATACCATTATTATGTAAATCAATGGTTGGGGAACTTTTCAAAGCTGAATATCATGTGTAAGTGGAATTGGACATCATGACAGTGCCATGCTTATTAATACTTAAATTAAGGCTCTTGCATTTTGTGAGTATTCTGGAATACTAATTTGCTTTATGGTGCCTCCTCATTATGTTATGCTTTTTCAGTATCATTGAATCTAAACTGGCCCACTGGGTCTATTGCTTTTGCATTGTTCTATGAAGCATAACGGGATGTTCTTTACATTTCTTACAGTTTAGCCTGCATCGGGTATTACATTTCTGATCTTTAATAAAATATATAATTTTGAATGTCAGAATTTGACAATTTGCTCTGCTTAACAGAGTGATAGTGAATACATGGCTGGTCAACTCTCAGCATTTGGGTATGCATTGACAGATATTTCCGAAGAGGCAGACCTGTGGCTCATTAACACGTACTATTTTTTTATATTTTAACTCTTTCCCTTTAGCCTCCTTTACCGGCCTGTAACCTTTTAAAGCATTGTTGCTTATGGATGTTGTATATATATGTAGTCTAGCTACCTTCTGGACGTTACTATGGATTATGATATTTGATCTGCTCATCCATGCCTATATTTGGCCATTGCTTTTATCATTATCTTGCTTTTACCTGTTTGACATTTAAATTGATTTTGAAATTATCTGTGTCCTATATTTCTTATAAACTAGATTTATAGGCCCGGTGAATTTAGTTCAACCTAGTTTTTTACTACTTTTGTTAGCTTCTTTTTAGGAGCAAAACTTCCCCAATTATTTGGCTCTTTCATCATTTTGGTTACCATAAACACTTTGTGCCCACTGGGGATTTAGTGCAACCCTAGGTACCGCCTTAATGAAGTGAAGCACTAAAAAAATGGCCATTTAACTTAATAACAAGTTTTCAAGTTCCAAAGATTCATCCTTTCTATCTTCAACATTTACTAAAGAATTTAAAGCTTTTGCAGCTTCATTTGATTTAACTTGTTTCCTAGCATGTCTCATTGTCTCTGCAATTCTTAATGGTTTTCCCTTATCATACAATTCCAAATTATCACCGACTCATCTTTCACATCTATTGGCACCTATCTCTACAATCATGCAAAGTGCTCACCTAGGTTGCATGCCGGTAATGGTGCTCACCTGGGGATATTTCAGGCCCTATGAACTCGTCTTGCTTTATCTGGGTGGTTAGCTGAGTACTCGGTTTACGTTTGACAGCAATGTTCATCAATGAGCAGCACATCTGCAACATGTTACCCTTTTATCTCCTAATTTATCGCTATGGAGACCTTGATATCAAAAGGTAAAAATGTCTATTGTCATGCAGATGCACCGTCAAGTCCCCTAGCCAATCAGCTATGGAGACCTTGATATCAAAAGGTAAAAATGCAAAAAAACCCCTGGTGGTAGCTGGATGCGTCCCTCAAGGAAGCAGAGATATAAAGGAACTTGAAGGTATTAGCATAATTGGAGTCCAGCAAATAGACCGTGTGGTTGAAGTGGTGGAAGAAACTTTGAAAGGTCATGAAGTGAGGCTTTTAAGCAGAAAAACACTACCTGCACTGGACCTTCCTAAGGTAATTCAACTCTTTATTTTGTGAAAATTTAAACGTGTTCATTTTTCAAAGTCTTTTCTCTTGTTGCTCATCCTAATTTATTTTAACCACATTCGGTCTTGATTTCATTTGAGGTTTGCTCTCAAACAGGTGAGAAAGAATAAATATGTTGAGATTCTTCCAATTAATGTTGGTTGTTTAGGTGCTTGTACCTACTGCAAGACAAAACATGCTCGTGGCCATCTTGGGAGCTACACGGTGGAAAGCCTTGTAAGTTTTGTTCTTTTTAGCACAAGCATTCTTTCAGAGATATCGATATGTTGTCCTTATGAAACTGGGGAAATCATTTGAAACAATACCTTATGCAGGTTGAACGGTTGAGAACTGTTATTTCAGAAGGAGTTAAAGAGATATGGTTAAGCAGTGAAGACACTGGTGCATATGGTAAGTGACATTAGCATGACCTCATTTATAACAAAAAAAGTTGGTCTCCATTAGGCATTACTTTTTGAAACTTGCCCCAAAACATATTGTGGCTTGTATCTCTTTTTACAAAAAGAAAATGCCTTAATACTTGATTTTATAATTTGAAAGCTTAGTAAATATATTTAGTATTTTGATTAATTTCATACTAAATGAGATGGTGATCAATAATAGTACGATTTCTGATTGTGTTTTCATTTAGAGTTGAGCAGAGGCTCATGATTTAAACTTGGAATGAAGACAATAGACAGAAAAGGCGAACCGATGAAAGGAAGAGGATAAATGTTCAAAGGACATAAATAGGCATGGTGGATTGTGAGTACTTTGGAGTTTATATTTTGGTAGAGTAATAGGAAGATGTGGATACAAATGTTCAGTTTCAGGTGGATGCTCAATTTTAGTAGACAAGATTAAGGTAGTTGCTTCAATAGAAGGTGGTGGGGGCTTATGAGTATAAACTTGTTAGGGAGAGAGGAGCATACATCATGGCTAGGTCGTATAGGAGTTGACAAAGTAGCATTGTTAGAAAACGAAATATAAGAAAAGGGTATGCCTTGTACTTAGGATTTCATTATACAAGTAAATATCTTCTTCACAATTTGCTAGTAGGGAAACTCTTGTAGTATATTCTTCACCAGAAAGCATATAACTTCCTTAATGATAATTATTCTGCATAATTATTCAAGGGGAAGTGTACCACCACCATTGTTAGACAAGGGAACCACCTCTAAGCCAATGCTTTGCATACTCTAGGAAACTTCTTCCAAAATGATCAAACATTTTGTAGTTATTAAGGCTATTACCAACTATTATAAGGTTCAATACAAACTGATTGCAATATGATTAGAATGGAAATACAAATACAAAACTATAAGATTAACAGATGTTATTATAAATTTGATATTAAGAGATTGGACGGTGGAAGACTTTTAGCTTTTCTTCTTGAATTTAATAGAACTAAGGCTTAAAATTCTCTATATATTTTATATGTAATATGTGTAGAATCGGCAATCTATCATAGTGGAAGTATAGAGGTATATAGAGAGTATTAACTGCCCCAAAATGGCTAAATTTAGCTACAATCAATTCCTCAACAACTATAATTAATAGTGTTTTCAATAACAGTTAAAATAGGAAATAAACGATGTTTTGGAATACCATAATAAATCCATTTCTAATTGAAAATAGATCATATACTATAAGAAATCACTTGTAAAAGATTGAGTGTATCCAATGAAATAGGAAGTCAGCTCCAATTTATTGATTATAACAAAATTTCTTCATTAATGTTATTTATTACTTAATTATGAATTTTAAAATATATTATATATGCTCTAATAAATTTGTAATATTATATGTAAGAATAGAAATATGTTAGTAGCATACCATAAACATTTCAAGAAAAAATAAAAAGATTGAGGTGCTATTTGGTTTGCTAGAAAATGAACGAAGCGTAAAAAAAAATATAGTGTAAACTAAAAAGTTATCTATTGAAATACTTTTGAGTTATTTGGTTGAGGACATTGCTAATGCATGGGTTTATCTTTCTTGAAGAAAAGAGAATTCAGAATAAAAGAGCAATGCATTTGGAATAATAGTTAACTAGAAGTGGCAGCCTCCTGGCGGCGGCTGGCAATGGTGCAGTTGGTGTGGCTGACATTACTTCACACAAGCTATATATTTGAAATTTATCTAAAATTAGACGATTTCCAAATTTATTGAAAATGAACTTAAGGATATATTTTAAATACATTAAAACTTTACATTGCATTTGCTTTTCTTCCAACCACAATTGGATTTTCAAAATTTGTATATTTAGAATTCAATGAACTAGGAATACTTGAAACAAAATAACTCCTATACCTAATTTAAAATTCATAATATATGTGCTAACTATCCTTAATTAATATAATTAATCATAATTAGTATTTAAATAATAAATTAAATGATATAATTATGAAATTCAACTCAGTATATTTTGTAATAGTATTAGTAATCAATTATAAGATAAAATAATTTTTTAGCATATGATTGTTAATTATTTTAATTTATGTAAACAAAAAAAACAATAATAAATTAAACATAAATTCAGATAAATTAGAAAAAAAATGTTGATAAATTTAGATACGTGGCAAACTCCAAAATGTTTTCTTTAGGACTAAATTGAGATCAATTTTATGTCACAATTATAACATTAGGGATCATTTTGAATAAATTTTATGTAATCAAGATATTAAATTAGAGCGATGTAATATTCTGACACTAAGTTGGCCACGCACAAATAGTTTGAGGATTATTTTGAGATTTTTTTTTATTTTCATACAATCTCATTTTAACAAGTGCTTGAATTTCAAAGCATTGCTTTCTTGATCACACATTTCTAGTTGAAGTTCATTGGATTTTCATGTGCCTGATTTTTATTATTTTTAAGTTTTCATTGAAGGTACGAAATTGTTATCACATAGTAAGAGTTTGTAACTTATGAACTTTGTATGTTCGTTGTATGAATTTTTGCATCCCTTATGCAAATCTTAGATCTAAGATATTCTGCACCAAATTTGGTATTAGAGCTTATAAGTGCATCATAATGTCTTCTAGATATAGGATATAATGTCAAGGTTAGTTAATAGCACAATAAAAAATGCATTTTTAAGGAAAATAGTTTAGCTATGCTATAAACAATTTCAACATAATATTAGAAAATTTATAATTTATTCCTGCATTTGATGGTCGGTTATAAATCCAAGGTATTTTCATATTTAATAAATAGCTTAGAACAATTCCTTGAAAAATACAATATTATTGATTCCCAAAAATTTGAATTTGTTCAAATAAAATTATTGGTATTACTCAATATCTTGACGAACTGTTGCTATAAAAAATGCAATTTACATGGGTTGATATGAAATATGCATTTAAAGAACAATATTTTTATTTCTTGAACTATAGAGAGTTTGCATGTTCAATTTACAAATTTTAAACAAGGTGATTATCATCTTTTTTGAATATTTTTTGTAGATTTGAAGGTTGTAGTCAAATATTATTTTTCTAGAGATTATATGTTATCAAAATACGTTTCATAATTGGTCAAATTTGAGCACGAGTTAAGCTATAATTCACCAATTTCTTTTAATATTTTTAACCGAGAAAAATCTTGGACACCTCACCCAAATCTTGTTATACTCATAGTAACACAAATATCGTGTATGATTAATTTTGTTTTTTGAGAAACTATAATTCCTAAATATTTTTTAAATATTGAATTAGATGCAAAAATATTTTTACAACTTCAAATATGATTTTACAACTTATTTTGTTGAATTTGAACATGCACTGGATTTTGTGTTAGAACATTTTCATGAATCCACACCTAAATCTAAAATTGAGTTGAGATCACATATAAACTTGACCTTAAATCGGATATGAATTTATTTTTTGCTGTGAAAATTGAACAAGCTATGACTATTGATGTTTCTGAATTTATTGAGTAATCTAATAATGTCATTTATTCCAAATTATCTATGGCAATTATCCCTATAATGAGAAATCAAATTGTTTTTATTTTTATTTTGTATTCTTGATTTTTGACTTGCACATTCATAAAAAGAATCTTATTGAGATAATCAATATGCATCAAATACTATAGATTTATTCATGATATAACTTATTTAATAAAAAGCATGAAATGTGAAATTCCATTTATATAGTTGAATCCAAATGTACGACTTCATAATGATGAATCTTTAAGTTATTTGGATTACTTTTCTTTTAAGAGTTTGTACTTCCATATTATAGGGGCATTATATTTGTGTTTGTCAGTTGTTAAAAACAAACTTTCTAAAATTTAATAAACATAAACTTTAAGTTTTGTTCATTTTTCTCTTTAGAAATTAGTTATAGTTCATCCATAAGGAAGCATACAGGCATAGCATCATATCCCATTGTGTTATCCATTAGTTATATTCTTGAATTGCATGGAAGTATTCATAGAAAATTTGCTATTAGTTATGATGATCGTAAGTTTGTTGCAATTTTGGGATATGTAGAGAGTTCAAATAAGGCTATAATGTAATATTTTGTTTGGATTGTAAAAGGTTTTATACAAGAATTTTTAAGAAATTATTTGTTGCAAAACATGTTCATATAAAGCTGTATAATGAATTGGGATGAATTATTACAAATTTGAAATTAGAAAAATTCTAGTATTATTTTATTCTTTAATTTATCCTATTTAACTTTTTATGAATCATCGGCCATTATCTTAAATTCTTCTCTCATTCTGACTTCCCCTTTGAAATTCACATCGAACAAACCATATGCTTGATGCTCAAGCCGTCTTGCTAGTCTTATGCTTGAAGCTATTACTGGATATGAAATCATGTCTATTACTGATGTTGTATATTAAAACAATGAAGTGATAGACTTGTTTGTGGTGATTCATGGACAATTCTACAAAAATTCCAAGAGATACGCCCAAATCTACTTCAAGAATATTGACCAAATAGTTCGTTAGGGTCGAATTTTTTCAAGCCAAGTAGAATTGATGTGGAAAGCCCTATAGCTCCCGTAACCCTTGCAACTGAGTTCTCGGACCTTTCTTCTGCCTCTGTTTCTTGTTCTGAAATCTTCCTTAATGGCTTTATAGACTTTTTATAGGTTTTTAACCGAGTCTTAGTATGGTTCTATTGCGATTGTTTCCTGTAACTTTCTCTTACCGGGTTTCCCATTTGACTTCCCTGTTTGCTACTTCCTGCTGCTTTCTATTGGCACTTCATCTTGTGGATTTGATCTATGAGTTGATCCACTATTTATTCCGTTCATAGCTATTTGCATGTTATGGTTGACTAAAAGTAGAACCAAAGCACGTATTATTCAGTTTAAATATTTGATGGAATCCTGGTCTTATCTGAACTTGTCTAACTGTACAGGCCGTGACATTGGGGTAAACCTTCCGATATTGTTGAATGCCCTTATCGCAGAGCTTCCCCCTGATAGAAGCACAATGCTTCGCATTGGCATGACGAATCCTCCTTTTATACTCGAACATTTAGAAGAAATAGCCAAAGTTCTGCGCCATCCCTGTGTTTATTCATTTCTTCATGTTCCTGTGCAAAGTGGGAGTGATGCTGTTCTTGATGTGAGTTTTAAGTTGCTATTAATTGGTTATGTTTCTTTGTGCTACCATACTTTTGACAGTTCAAATTACCTTATGCCATCAGTGCCTTTGCTTTGTTAGGCAATGAATCGTGAGTACACTGTCAGTGACTTTAGAGCCGTGGTGGATACCTTGATTAGGCTTGTACCTGACATGCAGATTGCTACTGATGTAATATGTGGATTCCCAGGTTTGTAAGCTGTTTCATATGTAACGTTAACTTCCAAGTTTAAATGCATGCGTTCTGTATTAATCTTGAATTAGGAATGACCGAGCTTTTAAAATTTTACAAACCGTTAGGATGGGTACTGAAGAAGAATCTGATATGTTGAGTTGCAAATCTGTCTGAAGCCAACTTCTTGAACGATTGACAATCCAATACTTAAATATTTCAGGTGAAACTGATGAGGATTTTGCACAAACTATTGCTCTCATTAAGGAGTACAAGTTTCCGCAGGTCCATATTTCACAGTTCTATCCAAGACCAGGTTTGCCCTGCATGTCTTTGTCAGAACTTTTCACTGCAATTCCTGTCTGTGTATCCATCAAGCTTGTTTTCTCTAGTAGCAGAAATCTACTAGTTTTTCATCAATGCTGCTAATTATTTCTGTGCTTTGCTTAATATAACTTTTTATGTTTTAAATTAGATTTCTTTGACTGCAAAATTTCAAGAAAATCTTCTTTTTGGACCAATTTATTTTTTTATAAGTGTTTCGAAGTTTTTGAAGTGAGTTGGAAACTGAACTTCATTGAAGTGAGTTTTAGTAGTGTCTGTTTTGCATGAACTCATTTGTGAAATCAATTTTAATATCTATGACTTTGAGTTTCATAAAATTCAAGCTAAAGTAATATTCAATTAATAATAATAATTTTGTTAGTGTGATTAATAAGAAAATTCATATCATAATTATTAATAAATAATTACTTAATTAGATTAACATTTTTTATCTACTAATTCATTAATATCAATATTGATATTTGTAATATATAATTTATAATTAAATAGATTATGTAGTTATTTATTTGACTAATTAATATGTTTCTTATTCACTCTAAATTATTCAGATTAATTACTTATCAGTAATGGCTAATTATCTTATTCAATTAAGTGATTAATATTGATATAATTAATTTATATATAGTCAATTAAAATTATTAATTTAAATATTTATTAAGTTATAAATTAACATTATTTATTTCATAACAATTATTTATCAAATAATTAGTCGAATTAACAGATTTATCCTATATCAATTAACTATTTTATTAATAATTAGATTAATGTATTAACCTAGTTAATAATTAATGGATTGTTCCTCTACTAAATCCATAAGAAATTAATTTAGTATCTTAAATATTTTTAATACTTAGTTAATGAACCTAATTATTATTTAAAATTAGTGACATCTTAATAGTCTCTAGTTTTAATTAATGATCCTTAATTAGTTATTGATTGTCTCTAGTTTTAATTAATGATCCTTAATTAGTTATTGATTGTTACGGTCTTATTGAGTTCCCTAATTATCCTAAACAAATTTGATACTAATTAGTCTAATTATTATCGTAATTACTTTTTAATTCATAATTAGCCTAAACAAAATTTCGCCAAATAATTTTAATGTTATTTGATTTTCTTATTATCTCATGCAAAATAAAATTTGACGGGACTTCTAAGGCCTCATAATTGAAATTTGCTTCTTTAAAAAGTTTTAAATTGTAGCTCCTCATTTTCATCTACTTTTTGTCAAACAAATACTTGAACTCAATTTGGATCTATTCACTTTTGGATATTTTTGTCCAAACAAATTTACCTATAGCCTTAAAAAATTAAGAGTATGAATGTTGGAATATATCTTTATAGTAAAATTGGAATATGTGACAATTATTTTATAAACTATATTTTTTAGTGCCTTGCTTTGTCAATCTATTCCCAAATATGGTGTGACGATGACTTTTTTCTCAAGAGGATTTGTCAATTGGATGACAACTTAGTCATCTAAACGATCCGCTTTCGTTATCTTCCTAAGTTAACATCTAAATGATTGGATGGTTGAGGGTTTTGCCTATTGTTCAAACGATGAGACCCATTATCTTGATGATGAAATGAGACACCATTCTTTGTTTATTGTTTGGTATTTTTGTTTTGTTACATATGAGGAGTGCAGGGAGTTCCAATTTAGCCTTACTCAACTTATGCTTGTGCAATTGACAATAGAATAGTAGTTTGTTCTTACCATCGATGAGGTACTTAGTGATTTTTTCTCAAGTTTATGTTTTTTTTTTTCATTGATTGCTTTAATGTTTCACCGATAAAAAAAATGTTCATATGCTCACAAAAGTCAAGAGTGCTTTCGTATACTCATACGGTTGAAGGTGTTAGCGTTTTCTCCTAGTATGAGTTCTCCATTTTCATGTCACCATTGCGAAGAATTTGTAAAATTTAGTTGAGCCTATACCAACATGCAAAAAAAAGGCATGCATGGCTAGTATGCAAATCACTAAGGCTATGTCAGGGGTCTTCCGTCATACCAAGAACTTATATATGTCCAAGCAAAGTAGAGCTTCCCACTATGTCAAACAAGACACATATGGGTGGCATTGCCGGCATTACCTCCATACATAGCTAGATGCATGAACCCCGCAAATCAATGGATGATGGCACTAAGGCGATAATTGTATAAGAAATGAGGACCTTTATATCACTCAAAGAAAGATTTGTATTGATAGTTGTGTCGTCTTTAGCTTTGTGGAAGGGCAAAGTGAAGCTAGGGATTGATAACACGAAAAAGGAAATAATGAGCAAAAGGTAACGATGAAAGAAAGTTGATTTGAGAAGACTTATACCACACACTTATCAATGTCAGGTGGTAGGTGGTAGGAATTCACCGTTTCCTTCATATCTATGTTTACTACACTAAAGTATGAGTGTGTGCTTGCATATATATATATATATATTATCCTAAGGTGAAATAAACATACCTCTTTTAAGTTTATTTTTTATTACACTATCTAGTATGGTATTCAAATATAGAATCTCAAAATATACAATTATCTAACCCATGAAAGCTACCTATAGTTTCATCAATTTTTAGTAATGATTTCACTATACATCAAACATGCAGAAGAAAGGGATAACTGTATAACACAGTTGATTGATATTAAAAACTTGAGAGTTTATAGTATTTCATCAATCAAAATTGCTCAATATGCTATAAATCTCAAGAATCCATGTAATAAAGGTTTTGCATATTGAATTCATTAATTGACAACACCATTCATGAAAGTTTCTGATGCATATGTGGATCTTAAAATAACCTTAAATATTCAAAATTATTTATGCCACTTATTTTAATGACATTTAGGAAGATTTAACATCTTGTTCTTACATTTGAAGCCCATAATACTGAAATTCAAACATGCATGTGATTGTGTATGCATGAACTATTCTCCATCCTATTATAATTTTGCATTGGCCATCATATATTGGATTTAAACTTAAAGTTGAATAAATTTGTGTAACAGCTTAAATATTGACCAAACATGTGAAAAATAAAGACGGTCACGCAATGTATGAAGTAAATTTAGGAGATTAGATCGCCCAAATTAACAAAATTGCTTTAAGATTGCTTATAATGCCTTTGAATGATTATGTCTGCATTTGCCAACACTTCTTAAAGTGTTAACCGTATTATAATAGCAATTAAGCATATGCTTGTAACTTGGCTGTATGGTGAAATTATTCTGTGTGGATATGGTTGTTGTTCGGAGGCGAATCATAGCGTGCCACATCACCCTTTGATGTGTACCAGGTGATTTGGCATGCTCTGATTCGCCTCCTGACAGTTTGGTGTCTGCATAGATAGACTGGATGAGAATTCCTGTGTTCTTTAATTTCACTAAAAGGGTTGAAAACATATATGCCACGATGTATTCAGTCACCATTCAAATTACATGAATATTATTTAACCAGGAACACCTGCTGCAAGGATGAAGAAAGTGCCAAGCACACAAGTGAAGAATCGTAGTCGTGAATTGACATCCATTTTTGAATCTTTCAACCCTTACACTCAAATGGAAGGTCAGATTGTGAAAATATGGATTACAGAAATTGCTTCTGATGGAATTCATTTGGTTAGTAAATCATCTTATAGTACATTGTGAGCTGCCTTAGCTTAAGAACATTGCTTGCATAGAAAATTCCTTACACCACTTTCCATTGAAAATTTATGACTACAAAGCATTTCATCTCTATTTTCATAGTTTTTGTTATTTGGCTGCTAACAGGTAGGACATACCAAGGGATATGTGCAAGTCTTGGTTATTGCTCCAGACAACATGCTTGGCACCTCAAAAGAGGTAAAAATTACTTCAGTTGGAAGATGGTCTGTGTTTGGGGAGGTTATTGAGACTTCTACAGAAGTAAAAGCTCACCGAGGTGCCGAGTCGGCTTGCGATAATCTCTGTCCATGCTCGAGCGAGTCGGAATGTAACTCGACCAACTTGAAAAAATGCGCAGAGATTGCGTCCATCACGCACAAAGAAGCTTCTGCAGATAATGTTTCCTCCAGCAGTAAAAATGGGAGGTTGAGAACATTTATTAGCTCCATCAAGCCTGTTTTACTGCGAAGGAGATTTAAGGGATCAGAGGGGAATCAGAGCATCCAGAAAATTGAAGATACAAAGAGATTTGTAGGATCTAATTTGAGCATGGTGGATGGCATGCTTGTTGGGGGACTTATTGTGAGTTTGCTAACAATTATTTTAGTATTTACTATTCTCTTTTATCAGATGCTGTCATCTTGAAACTGTTGCAGATTCTCTGGATTTGGAATTTTGGAAAATATTTTTAATAATATTATTTCGAGATTTTGTCGGGCTGTCTTATGTTTTTTTATAGTTACCCCCTTCTATAGGTAAATATCATATTTTTAACTACTAACAATGTTTTTCATTATTTACAGCACCATTGGTATACAGTATGCACTCATGAGAACCAGATAAAAAACTGTCTAGTTCTATAATTTTTGCTTTTAAAAAAAGTGGTAGAAGTTGAAAGTCACATGAATGAGAGTGCAATTAGAGCTATACCATTTCTAAGCAAAGAAGACCAAAATCTTGATCATTTGCTATTTGATCCATGCAATAATCTCGATATTTGATGAAAACAACATTCATATGACTTGAAACCCAAACCTTGAAAAGTTATACTGAATAATTCAATCACATAAGTTTTCAGTTTTGTTTGAAACAATTTTCTTACTGCTTAAAATAACTTTAAAAAACAATAAGAAAATTGTCCAAAACAAATCCATAATTGTCAAACCTAACTCAAAAGGAAATGAGCTTTAGTAAAACTAGTGTAACATGATATCATCTGTAAATAGCTTTATAACCCACTGTTAAACAAATCTAACAGAAAGAGAGAATCATAAAAATATATAAATAGAAGACCATAATTTTCCAAACAAAAAAAATCATAATAAATTTAAAATCAATTTAAAAAAACAATTAAAACAGTGCCAAATGGATCCTATTGATCTCAAAACTTTAAAAGAAAGAGATCCAAATCCAAAGATATATTATAAACTCACCTCGGATTCCAGCAACAAGAAAAAAAATGCTACAAATTTGGAGATAAGCAGCCACCTTTGGGTCCATATATCATACAAAAAATTACAATCATACAAAATCAAAACTCCATTTCACCCTAAGATTATATCTCAAATAAATTTAAAGGAGGTATTAAAAAGAAAGACAGAGGTAACCATGAAAATATAATTTCTGCTAGCAATTCATCTTCATCTTTGATTGCTCAAAATGTTTTCCTTAGGACATGAAAATCGGCTCGAAATACCAAAACTTCATCGTATCTAATCGCATTTGATGTTCCGATAAATTCTTCGGACGAACAAGGACGAACCGAGAAAACCCACAGCACCTGCATTTCAACATATATGTTAAATTCAAAGTGATAATTAGAAATAATAAATAAACATTAATATTTAGTAGAGAGAGAAGGTACCACAGAGTATTCCTAATCCAAGACAAAACATGAGGGTGTAGCCGAAGTAGAAGCTCGTCTGGAAGAAACCTGACATTTTGGTCTTCACATAATAGTAATAAATGGAGTAAAGATATACGTATGCAGCAGTCGAAGCAGCGGAGAAGAAAGAGGTCCACTGCCAGTGATAGTTCTCAGCGTTTAGAAGGAAATATGTGCCAACGATTGTAACACAGACAGCAACGATGTTGAGAATTAGGAAAACCAGTAACATGAATCCATATACATAGTAAACCTGTCAATAAGAAAAAGGCAAAAGAAAGAAGGAAACAAGTAACTGTTTAGCCCGTTTAAGCTCATTTAATTTAGCATAAAATGATATGCCGGTTCTCACTGAACCGGCGCAGCCGGCCCAACAGCTCGTGTACGGGAGGCGGAAGTAGTCCGCCTCCTCTTGTCTGTGTTCCGCCCAAAGGGGTGGGGCCCACTAGTCCAAGCAATTTCAAATTGAAAAAGAGTGGGCGGCTAGGGCTGGGGAGGAAAATTAAATTAGGAAAACTTTTGTATTAAAGAGGATAAGAGGATTAGGGAGGATTATGATTTTGATTGATTGGAATTAGGGTTTCTTGGCGACTTGGGCTCTAGACTCTCTTGTCTAGAGATTTGGGAGAGACGATCCTCCTCTATCCTCCTCTCGAATTTAGGATCTCTTGTATCTTTGCTTTGTTCTTATTTCTCTTTATTTTTTATAAGATTTGCTCTCGTTTGATTGTTCTTCCACCACAAATTCTTCGTTTTCTCGCTGTTTTTACCGATTATTATTAGATATGCTTGCGAACTCAAGTAGATCCGATAGGATTACTTGCGAACTCAAATGCTTCCTATCATAAAAATGAATCATGGGCTTCAACAAGATCAGAAAAGGGTCACCCGATCATCTCCAAACAAATTTCAGCTAAAAAGTCTCACGAGAGCATCAAATAGAAGTTCAAAAAGAAAGGCAATGCAAACTAAAAGTATTATTTGCATGCTGGTTACCTTGTAGTTCCAGAAAGATGTGAATACAAAGTACATTTCAATGAAGATGCTGCCAAAAGGAAGTAGTCCGCCCATAAGTGAGACAACGAAGGGTGTGAGATACCACTTTTTCTCAGGTATAGGACGAGGAATGGTCTTCACACGACAAGGATTGCTAGGAGCACCACTCCAGTTTCTACCCACCACAGTTCCCAAAAGTGTGAGAGGAAAAGAGATAAAGGCCCAGATAATAAAAACAACCACCATTGTTCCGAAAGGAATAGCTGCTAATGACCGATAGAATATAGCGATTGTGTTGAGTGCAAAGCCAATTCCAAAGCATAAAAACGGGAAAAGAGATGCTGTGAGAATCATTGATTTAATCCAGCTTTTACCTGCATAAATTAAAAAAAAATGAAATCAGAAGAAATGGGTCAAATTAAGAAGGTTATTTTAATAGAACTCCCAATACTCTGCCTTTCACTTTAAAAATCTGCAAATAAGAACAATAATTTATTATATTTTATAAATAAGGACAATCGAACCTAACATAGATGACCAGGAAAATTCTTGCATATATATACTTGGGTTTTTTGAAATCTTGGCATTAATATAAGCATTTGTTATGTAATCCTGATATTGTTATTAGAGTTGGACTTGATTTGTATGTTAGGGTTTCATAACTATAATAACTCCAGGGTTTCAAGAAACCCAAACATATATGCCAGGACTACAAAAAACCCAGGTAGGCATGCAAGGGTTGATATTCCGTATTTATTAATAAAGTAAATTAATGTCCTTTTTAACACAGTAAAATTATAAGAAATTTTAAACAAGTAACCCTAAAAAGAAATAGAATTCTATTAAACAATTTGAAAACTCAGGACCATGGAAACTTTCATATGATAAAAAACATACAAAATGATTAGTTCAACTATAGCCCAAATGAATATTAAAAAAAAAAACTATAGTGCACAAATTGGATATGCATACCGCCATTCCGTGAATAGAGTCCGCCACTAACGTAGCCCGAAATGAATGAGGTGAAAGCATAGCATAATATGAAAGTTGTGTGAATAGCTCCTCGCCTGAGCACATTTAAAACTGATAAGACTCTTCTATGACGCATCATCAAAAAGTGAAAACAAAAGTGGACTTCTATGAAAATTACGAAATGTGCAGAACAAAAAAGAAAACAAGCCAAACGAATTAATAGCACAAATAGATAGCAGCTTGTATTAATCACAACAAGGCTGCTAAATCACCATAGCACCACTCAAAGCACCAAATTTGTAAGAGATCAAGCAGTGGTAATGCCAAAATATACAGCATATGAGTGCTTGGATGTAAATAGGCAGATATGAAATTCTTTATATAGATATTTAAAAACAAAATGATATATAATCATCTATATTAATCTTATCAATCTATAACTGCTAACATGAACCAAGGTTTGATAATCCACTCAAATCACATTTTACTGAAGCAGACATTAGGAATTTTGCGCAATGTCCACGTACCCAACATAGAGCATCCCAACTATTGCCAGCAAAATGACTAGGAGAACAAGCAATGCAAGCTGGGCACCAGTACCAACAACAGCTGAAAGAAGAGCCAAATTGCGAACAGGCCTGAAAACATCACCATGAATAAGCTTCCAACCAGAATCTTCACTCACATCTCTTTCCTAACAAACATGGAAACGCACAAATATATAAGCACTAACATTAAATACTTTCTTCACATTTGTAAAAGGACTACGTTCAATGGGAAAAAGTTTTGAATAGTCATAAATTTTATAAAAAAAGTGAACAAAATTATTAAAAAAAAAAACAAAGCATTAGTTTGTGGTATTGACCTATGTCAAATGATGGTAAGAGAGCATAAGAGAAGAGGTGTATAACTGTGTGGTTTCAAAATAAATAAATAAAATCTTGAGATGTTTATAATTACCAGAGTCTCTAAATCATCATCTTCACGTGCATATTTAGCGTAATCATTTCTAAGAGTCCGCATGAGTATCATAGAGACCAGGCCGGTGAGGAAAATAACCATCATGAAGGAGTTAAAGATAGAAAACCAGTGGATCTGCAAAAAAGCACATTTCTTAACATTCATGCCAACAAGAAAAATGCTATGATGAGCACATAAACTTTAAAGAGAACATTCCAACAATGATATCTAAACAGAACATTTTACATCCGAGTCTCATGTAGATTATTATAAGCTAGAAAATGACCACAATTACCAGAAGAAATTCAATGATTTCCCTGAATTCAGAATAATATGTTATAGTAACTAGTAGGAGAACTATATTATCCTCCAGATTCAAGGAGCTATTAGGAAACCATATTAATTTATATGAGCTTTGCAATTCTATCAGCGGTCCTCTGACTTCAATAATCTCCACTTAGCTATTTGTTAAACTTGGCCCAAGCTAATACGAAAGAAAACAGAAGCTACTAGCCTAGAAATGGATGAGCGCCAATAAAAAAGGGTTTTCCATGTCTGAAGTTATGAGGAAGGTGCACAACGGGTTAGAATTTTCCTTCATTGATTTTCCAGTCAAAATGAGATGGTGAAATTGCAGGTTTTGAAAAGTAAAGCAGTTGGAGCACATACCCAAATTAAACTAATCTGCAGATCCTAAACCTTGCGGATTCTCAATTTAACATACGAAATAAAACATGCTAATTTCAATAGACGGCCTGTAGTAAAGAGGAAAAAACACCTGAAAACAAGCTAATAGCAGTAAATCAAAATATTACCTACACCTAACAGCGGATTACCTGGTGTTCAAAGAAAGGGTAATCCAAGTATGCATCAAAACGATGAGCAAATGTTACATTTGTTGGGATCCATTTAACTGAATATGTCATCTCTAATGTCTTTCCAGGTTCCAACAGTTTGGGGGTTTCTTGGGTGATATTAACATGAATAATCTGCAAGAACAATACATTATCATCAGATAGCCTCATCATGACCATCAAAATTTAGCATCACAGATTCATTCTTAACTGGCAATCACCATTAAACCAACTAAACATGATTCCAAATGCAAAGTGCCCAAGGAAAACACGTTTTAAGGATTCTGCAAAACCATACCTGGTCTCTATTGTATTTCACAACGATATTCTTGTTTGTGAAGAGATAATGCTTGCTTTCATCAGTTTTTCCAGTCTCTCCAACAAAGGCTGATATATAAGGCAATGAATTTGGAATATGATTTCAAAAGTCTAAATAATTCGTAAATACCATTGATTTTTCAATACATACCCCATAATGGTAAATCATCTATGCCAGCATGCCCAAGAAAGCCAAAAAAATCAAGTAAAATAGTTAATAATTGGCTAACAAAATATCAATAAACAAACAAATGGAAATACAAGAGCATAACGGATAGCATACCTATGAAGAATTCAAACCAATATGAACTCTCAATTGCATCCTTAAATAGATTCACCTTGACATCATTGAGTTCAAGAGAACAAATGGAACCTTTGTCAACATTTTCTGATAAGATAAAAAAAATTATTTAGAGCTCGTTATACACTTTAATCAATTCAATACTGTGATAACTAATTTCAGACTAGGTGACTCAGAAATACATCATGATCCGAATCCATGGCTAAACAAATGAATTTTAGGTATGTGCAGTGGATTCTTAGCAAAAATATTCGAAAGAAAAAACACCTACTCTGGAATTTTAATTCGATCTGGCTGTCAATCAGTTCATTTCCACCCAAAACTTCTCCAAGCCCACCCCACTTATGAGGAGGGTTCTCAGCAGGCTGGCAAAATGGAAGACTATAATAGTTATACGTTTCTTGAGGGTTGTTATATGGACCAACTTTGTTTACCCATAGTGTAACACTGTCATCAGGTTGATACTGCAAATAAAAATGGAAAAAGGGAAGGATTGAATATGCAAGAAATGATTGCAATTCATAGTATAAGTCTTTGTACTTTGTAAAATTAGCATTTCAATATATTCCAAGAAATGAATAACAATTCCCAGACGAGAGATATACTACGAGACCCTAATTTTGGCTACCAACATCATGCCAAGTGCGTATGGTAATATAGTTTCTTCACTATAAAAGTTTTTACAATTATAATTTGGTTGAGTGGAGTGCAGAAATAATTATACGACCATGACAAGCCTGAATTCAAAGATTAATATAAAGTCTTTTCAAAAAGTAATGCCAATTGTAACATAATTTCTTCTCATTAAAATTTAAAATTTTGTGGTCTAGTAAAAGAAGTATACCAAAATAACAATAAATAATGGCTTAGCTATTAAAGAAATAAATATTCTAACCCCCAACAGAAAATCAAAATAAAACCACAGTCCTTGCATGCATATACGAGTAATAGACTTCAGCAAACATTGGGTAAAAAATAAATGAAAATTTTTCACCATGAAAACTGTCGGTTAAAAAAAGTACATATGGATTGAAAACTGTGAAAGTTGCAGATAGAATAGGAAAACAATGTGCAAACAGCAGTACCATTGGAAAATGGCTATACATTAATAGCTGAAATGACTGAGGTATACATATATAAAAGAAACTGTTCATTCTTTCTCCCATTTAAAATTAATCGTATGATCTTCAATTTAATATTAAAACATTATTCTCTCTAGTATCATTAATAATAGTGACATGCATGATTTATAGAACATTTAGGAAAAATCGATCTTAATCAGCATGATGGATATTTCCAATTACATGAGAAGATAAATGTCATTTGCAAGTGTAGATCTTCTCAAACAGCTTTGCACTAACTAAACTGATAATAGACTTCTTAAACGGGAAGAAATCTTGGACTAACTAAAGGAAGGATCCGCTATTTCTCCCGAGGGAAGAATGCTCGGATGGTTGTAACCTTAAATACAGTCAACGATTCCTCATTTTCCACGATAAGCATCTCACGTCTTACGATTATGTCTCTAGTAATCTTGTATGTATCTAGATTGAGTTTCCAAGGAACTCTGAATTTTGAAATCTGTAATAAGCCCCAATTCCATAAAATAAATGAAAGGCTTTACAAAGTGTACCTTAGAAACCCTAAGCCTCATCAAAACATAAAATTGAGCTCTTGATTATTGCAAAGATCTGAGACGTGAATGCTAAGAAGTTATCAAAAGGTATAACAGCATTACATAGGCCAGCCCTAATGCTAGGAAGTGTATCGTTTCTAATTGATAAAAAAAGTCGTATGGTTATTCTTAATTACGTGAAATCAGCAAAGAATTAACAAGTGAACTTAACAAAAACCTGATAAGTCATGCCAAGGGAGACTCTTTAGGGCCAACCATGTTCTCATTGTTGTCCAAATGCCAAAAAAAAAAATTTAAGATGACATTTTATATGCAAGCCATACTAGATCAGAACATCCAGCCATCAACATTAATGACGTTATGCTTAGACAAAAGCATAGGGTAAACAAGGCATACATCACAATATGGAGCTTAGATTAACATCAAAATATAATACTAACAAAGAAATATTATTGATTAACTTTAATGAAAAGCATAACAGAGTTGTCTAAAATTGTAATACCAAAACAAGCACACTCCTTCTCAAACTAATGCTGAAACAGAACATTCAATAGTTCAGCATTTCAGCTTCTAAGCAGCAACATTTACATTGAGAACAGAATACCAAAGGAACAATCAGTTGAAATTCCCCACAAACAAACTAACGACCCCACCATCAAGAAAGCCGGAAGAATCGACTCAGATCTAAAGTCCGCCCGATCACGCACGGATAAACACCACCAGATCCTTTCATTGACAGAGCAATATCTAGCTGTGAAGAGCCCCCACACGAATGGGAACAAATAGATTTGGAGAAGATCTAAAGTCCCTACACATCAAAAGTTCAATCCAGAAACTAGGGTTAAGATACCAGCAGAATACCTTGTGGTCGTACTCCGACGCCGATGCCGGCGCGGCAGTAAGGATAAATATGGCAAGTCCGGCGGAAAAAATATTCAGAAATCTGGCTGCAACAACCATGGCGACGGTAGATCTACGTTGTAAAGCAAGATTTGCTTCAGCCCGCTTTTTCAGCGAGTTAAAGGAGAACCAGAGAGAGAGAGAGTCGTCCTCACGTGGATTCTAGAAATCTAGAAGGGTTTCTCTTCGCGTCGAGGAATGAACGATGAATAAAGAAGCTTTGTGGTATGGGTTCAGTGAACCGGCCGAGTTAATCTGGTTGGGTTCGGCTACACGGATTGTTAAGTCATGGATCGACCCGCTTCTATTTAAAGCATTTATCTTTTTTCAATAATAACTATTTATTTAAAGAACTCCGAATTTTTTAATATTTAAATGCAAAAATTGCATTCCAATGTGATTTGTGTCTCGATGTACTTAATAGTTCTTAAGAAATTATTCTATGTAGATTTCGGACGTAGAATTACATCTAAATTATGAGTGTGCATAATATGTTCACACTGCATATAAATATATATTTTATACATTTATACACAGTATGTATACACAGTATACTCATAATCTAGAATTAGACCTACATCTGAATTCCACACGATAATCCCTCGTGATTCTTAGATTTATTTTAAGATTACTGTAATATTCAGATATTATATATAGCATTAATTTTAGTATAAATTCAAGTTGTATTTCTCACTGTTCATATATATAAGTATATAACATTAAGATGCATTGTAAAATTTTGTTTTATTTAAATGACCAAAAAATGAAAAAAAAAAAAAAAAAAAAAAAAAATGAAAAAAAAAAAAAATACAAATCATGTCACATATCACCTAAGATTTTGTTTTAGCTGCCATGTTTTAAATTTTTTATAATAAAACATAACTTCTCATAATGAAAAGATATTGAAATTACTATTGATATGTCATTAAAAAATTATCTTGATCGGGCACGAATCTCGAGGCAAAAATGAAGTTGGAAACTTTTTTTTTGGGGAAAATAAGTTGGAAACTTCAAAAATTAAATACGGGATCATCGGAACTTAGATTTCATCAAACTTACAGTCAAACTAATCGTCTCGGAAATACGAACCAAACGACGCCAAATTCAACTCGATCCGAGCTCAAATGGGTCCAAATCGAAGACCCGAAACACATTTAGAAGGCTCAATCCATAATTTGGATTACCAAACAGTTTCCAAATATGACATGCTTATAGTCTAATCGAGCGACTCGACGAGACAAATCCAACGAGCCCAAGATCACCGAATTCCAATATCATTAAGACCTTTAAATGTTATCTCATATATGCTCCCTGTGCTAAGTTGCTTCTACCTTAGAGGTTCTTTCTGGGCCCTGTTTCTTAGCAGCTCTATGGTTTTCTTCTACTGTTTTTTGGATGTGTTTTCTTCTGATTGTTGTGTTCTGATGGAATTGATTGGGTTTTGCTGCGAGCTGGCTATTTATTTATTTTTAGGTTACGGACAATGATGAGCCAAGGTCTACACCATCCATTCCCGTGGATGGTCGATTAGCAACCAGGGAGTGCTTTTACTGTTTTGGTATTTGCGAATTGTTTAGGACACTGTGATGGTCCTCGACCTTCCTATATGGCTTATGGCAACCAATGTTCTTTCTTACTAATGGGTGATCCTTTCAGCTACTGGGTGATAGATTTCTTTCTCCCTGATTTTGGCTATGATTTTATCATAGACATTAAAAAAAAAAAAATCTCAACCAAGGTTATGAATTCATTTGGGACTCTTTTTTATTGTTTATTAAAATGAAATTTTTTGTACTAAAATAACAACTTTTACTTTAAAAGAATAAAATAAATAGGTAACATTCCCGCCACTTGATCTCCTTGCATCAAGGCCCTCCACGGGGCACTGTCTCCTCTGACAGCAAGAGACGAATGCTCTCTCTCTCTCTCTCTCTCTCTGCCATCATTTCCAAAAAATGCGGCCTCTTTCTCTCTCAACCCCATCTAAAACCCTATTGGAATCCCTAAGGCCTCCCGCCCAGCTTATTTCCTTCTTCATGACCACCTCCAGCACTTGCAAGCTGCAGAGAAGGCAATGCAAAAACTCTGGCGCGGTAGTACCTCCCTTGCTTCCTGCATTCCCATTCCAAAGCTCCCAAGGTCCGCCTTCCCGCTCCAAACGCGCCCGTCTTATATCACCGTTAGCTCCGCTTCCGGTCACGGCCTCGCTCACCGCGCTTCCATTAACTGCCGCTGCGAAATTCCCTTAAGTCGCGCATGGTCCCCTCTTCTCCTGCAAGCCCGGGATCCCTGTCCTGTCTTGCTGTTTGCCAGTGGCGATGGCAGGGGATTGACGGTTTCTCAGGGTTTAAGGGGCCAAGAAAAAAGAGCGAGTACGGCGGAGGAGATCGGCGGAGATGACGAGGACGTGACGCATGGAGACGAAGAAAGTAGAAGCCGAGCCGCACAGTCGCAGAGGCAAAGAGGTGGGAGCTCTGCTAGCGCGGATGTGGCCAATGTCGACCTACTGGTGATACCAGGAGTTGGGCCGAAGAATCTTAGGAAGCTTGTGGATAAGGGATTTCGCGGTGTTTCCCAGCTCAAGCAGTTGTACAGGGACAAGGTATTTGAAAAACTATGCAGAATATATCCCATCCTCTCCAAATAGAGGATCTGAATACTTTTTTTTTTCAGAGCTTTGATTTGATGTTAGGACATACTGGATGGGATGTTAAACGAATAAAAGTTGCATTTTATGAGAAAAAAAACCCATCTTTTAGGTTATACTATACCATGATTTGCTTTAATCAAAGCTCTGTCAATATTCCACTCTAACAATTTGAAATAAGTTCGAAATAACCTCGTATTTCCTGCACAGTTGAAGATAAATTTAAGCATATTTTCGATTTGGCATTACTGTGGGCTCTTTGTGTGGATGTAATACTGTTTTTAAATATCTTATTTTAGAACTAAATTTAAAACGTTCATTCGTGTCTTTTCAAGTTAAGGGATGATGTGGCTGACGCTAATGCATTTCTGGTTATAAATTCTCCTGTTTCCAACTGCAGTTTTATGGTGAATCCAGCCAGAAGATGGTCAAATTCCTGCAGAGTTCTGTAGGTATCATCCACAGGAATCATGCTGAGAGCATCACCTCTTTCATCAAAGAGAGTGTTGATGAAGAAGTTAAGCAAGAAGGATCAGAACCTGATATGAAGCTCAGACAGAAAAGAAGGTTGACATTCTGTGTCGAGGGTAACATCAGTGTTGGAAAGACTACATTTCTACAAAGAATTGCTAACGAGACACTTGAATTGCGTGATATCGTTGAAATAGTTCCGGAGCCTATCTCCAAATGGCAGGATATTGGTCCTGATCACTTCAATATATTGGATGCCTTTTATGCTGAGCCTAAGAGATATGCCTACACCTTTCAGAATTATGTGTTTGTGACAAGGTTTATGCAGGAAAGAGACTCTGCTGGTGGTGTAAAACCGCTTAGGTTGATGGAAAGAAGTGTTTTTAGTGACAGAATGGTTTACTCATCTCACTATATAGTTTCTTCTTCACCTTCTAATCTTGTTTAATCTCATTTTCCTTTTTAAGATTTGAAGCTGTTTATTTCTAATAGGTATTTGTTCGAGCTGTTCATGAAGCAAATTGGATGAATGAAATGGAGATAAGCATCTATGACTCATGGTTTGATCCTGTTGTGTCATGCTTGCCAGGACTTATTCCTGATGGGTTCATTTACCTTAGAGCTAGTCCTGATACTTGCCATAAGAGAATGATGCTGCGTAAGAGGGAAGAGGAGGGTGGTGTGACTTTGGATTATTTAAGAGATTTGCATGAGAAACATGAGAGCTGGCTACTCCCATTACAAAGTGGAAATCATGGTGTACTGTCAATTAATCAATTACCTTTTCATGTTGATAACACATTACATCCTGATATTAAAGATCGTGTTTTCTACTTAGAGGGTAACCATATGCACCCAAGTATTCAGAAGGTATTTATATCAAATGGTTTCTCTTCGAATCTGCTCCACATAATGTTGTGTAGTTGGCATTTGATATCACTTTGGTGATTATGCAGGTTCCTGCTTTGGTGTTGGATTGTGAGCCTAACATAGACTTTAATAAAGACATAGAAGCTAAAAGACAGTGAGTTTACCTTTTCTACTCCAACTCTCTCTTTATATTCATTAGATGGGATGCTCTAAGAAGAAACAATATTTTGAACCATTAACAAGCCGAACATAATCAAGCATAATTGTTTGTGTTTTGTTCGTTAAGAAAGCTAGGCGAAAATATATATTAAGGCTTCGTTTGGGATGGCTTTTTTACTTCTTCTTAAAGCAGTTTGTTAGTATAAACGTTTTAATTTTTTACTAAAATCTGTTTTTTCTTTAAGAAGCAAGAAGAAAACCATTCCAAACAAAGCCTAAAGCTCCACTTGCTTATCAATTGAGCTGAACACGGTTATTTGTAAATGGCAAAAGCCTTTTTATACCCCTAATTACCTATTATTGTGAACATAAAAGGATATAAGATAAATCACTAGTTAAACCTCTTGAAGAATGATGTAACATAAAAAGTTAAATTATTCATCATCTTTTATCTAGTTTCAAAGCAGAATAAAGTTCAGATACAGTTTACATCTACCATGCTCATAATTGAGAAGCTTCAATTTTCCTCTATTGAACTCATATACCTTGCATAGGTATGCTCGACAAGTTGCAGAATTCTTTGCTTTTGTGCAAAGAAAGAAAGATGATGAGACCCCAGAGAAGGCTAAAGAGGTGAAGCTCACAAGCCAACAGTTTCTTCTTCCTCAAGAAGGCAGTCTTTGGATCCCAGAGAGCTGCCCCCTTTCTGATTCAGCCTTGAAATCTCTAGATTTCAAGAGAGCCATGCAACCTTTCATGTTCTCCAGTTAAAATCTTAATTAAGCAAGTTCCAGATCTGAGGATTACTTGTTCTGCATGCTTATGGAGGTTGATTCTCTGTGCCATAAGTGAAGGTTTTCTCTAAGAAAAAGCGAGAAAAAGCTTTGCGAGAATGGAATTTTTGTAGTTGGATGTTCTAGTTGTGCAATCATGTAGTATGTAAATTTGTAGTACAATTTATATGGTTGTTAGGCATATTCTTGTTGCAATGCAGTTGGGAGGATTAGTGCTTTGGCAGCTGTTAACTTCTGCGTTTTGACTCTCAATTTGAACTTGAAAAATACAACATGCTGATGTTAAATTTTGAATTTGTAAGTGGTCTAAGGGCTTGTTTGGTTTGGTTGCTGTGGCGCGAGTGCTTTTTGAAAATAATATATGTTTGATTATTTGAACAAATTTAGAGTTATTTTATCTTGCTGAAGGATAAAAGTATTCTCAGTTATTTTTAAACTTTATAATTAATGAATGATACAACAACAACATCAAGTCTTTATCACATTATGTGGTCTCGGCTACATAATTTTTTTTTTTATTGTGCCATCTTAAAAATTAAATTCTCATTTAAATCTAATAAAGAAAGGTCATTTCTAATGTTTTTTAACAAATATTCTTCTTAACATAAGTCAAATCTAATATATCTACTTTTCTAACCGGGTCATCGGAAGATTGCCGTTTTATATGACCAAATAATCCTAGGCGACTCTCTCTAATCTTATCTTGCACTAAAGCTACTCTAATCTTTTCACGTATATGTTCATTTCGTATCATGTCTTTAAGAGTAAAGCCGCTCATCCACTTAAACATCCTCATCTTTGCAACACTTAAATTAATATTATGATTCTCTTTTAATGACTAACATAATACACCATAAAGCATTGCAGGTCTAACCACATCTTATACAATCTTCCCTTAAGTTTGAGAGGGACTTTTTTATCACACAACAAGCCTGATGCATTCCTCCACTTCAACCATCCAACTTAAATTCTACTAAAAATATCCTTATCTATTTCACCATCACTCTGAACAATAGACCCAATATATTTAAAATATATATTCTTATTAATGACTTGATCATTCAAAGTCACAGTCCCCACATTAGAACTATTATTATTAAAATTACATTTCATATATTCAATTTTATAATTAATTAATGCTAATATATAAAAATATGATTCATTTAATTGTCCTAAAAAGTTAAGAATTTGATCAAGGGGTTATTTGATTTCTTAAAAAAAGGAATCTCGAGTAAAATGGATAGTGTACAAACTATGTTATATATTAGAAATATTTATAATCGTTTAAATGAATATAAAATGCAAATGTATCATTTAAGCTCATGATTACTACACCAAATAACCTAATTTATAACTTTAATGAAATATAGAAAAACATCAAGCAATCAAGATGGTGAAAATGAATAATTAATTCATATAATCATAAATAATAAAATAAAATAGTTTCCCAAACTTGAAAAATAGAAAATAAATAAGATGAATTAACCCAATAGGAAGAAGTTACAGGCTCCCAGGCCAAAAAAGAAGGATATAAATCAGAAAAAACCCACCTTTTATTTCCTTTGTTGTTCTTCATACATATACAATTTCTCTTTGTACAAAGCATAATTGCTGTCAATTTGTTGACAGCATCAAATACAAAATCCCTGTATCTGCATTTCTACAGGCAAATAATAATTTCAATAATTACTTATTTCATTCCTGGAATACTTTATAGCCTCAGATATAAAAAATCAACTCTAAGAGTAACCAATGTGAAGCTGTTGCCCTTTGGAAAGTAACAATTTCCCATCTTTCACATTAAAAATCATCAAATTCCTAAATCAAATTTGGGTGAGCAGATGAAGTTGATTCCAGTATTTGTAACCTCATCAATCTGTGCTGAATGATCATGAAGAGCAGATTGTGATTTCCCAAATGATGATTCTGATCTGAATCTTAAGAGCTTAGTAGCTTGAGCCTCAACCTCATCAAGATCAAGATCCTGATAGAAATCATCATCAAATGAAAGAAAAGCATCAAATTTGGCGACCTTCGGTGGATGATTAAGGTTTCTTTCAGCTTGCGCTGGATGATTAAGGTTGCTTTCAGCTTGCGCTGATTGCATTTGGCACCGTAGCTGAGAGTTCAAATTCTCTTTTGGTATGGCGTCGGAAGGTTGAAAGAAAAGCTTTCTTTTTCTGCTTTCTAATTTATCGGAGCATCTCTCGCTGTGATTACCAGCTTCGCCTGACACAGAAATTACTGATGCAGCATTACAAATTGCTGAATTTTTATCGTCCAGCTGATTCACAGAAAGCAAACCATCCTGAGGAGTCTCCAGAAGATTAATTTTTTTGTCAGGTGAACAGCTCCCAGCTGTTCCTGAAGAAAGAGGCTCATGGGAAGTTGGTAGAAATTTCGCTGGAAGTACCATTGGCGACTGGGTAAGCAGAGAGCGCCTGCACAGGTTAATTACAGCTTTACAAACCAAGGTGGATAACAAAATTAGAACATCTGGATAGTATGACAGTTTAATGAAGCTAAGCCTTTTATTAATTCCAAATCAAACTGAATTTAGTAGAATTTAGTGATCTAGGGTAAAATTAGGAAATTTCATTTAAAGTTTAATTCTGATGAAAGAAATATTAGATATTGACTTAATATCAAGCATGAATCACATTGCAAGTCAAATTTCAAGGTTCTTATATGACGCTTGAAAATGACTTGGGTGATTTGTTAGGAGTTGATTTAATATCCATTAATGATCACATTATGAGGTAGAAATTTTGCGTGAAAGCTTGAAAATGAGTTAGGTGGCTTTGCATTCAGTTGGTGGCTGGATCAGTTGAAGCATAAAAGATTAACTAGCAATGGAAACATAAGAAAACCTTGAATTTTTTATGAAGTTCAGAGTGAACAAACGAGCAATTCATTTCAAAGAGTTCGAAGAAGTCTCTCTCTCAGGCATTTCATAGGGTATATTTCTTCATAGAACATAGAATAAAAAGAATCCATTTTTTATTGTTGTTTGATTAAAGGCTGATGAACCATTATTACCTGTAAAAAGCTATCATGTCAACTTCACTATTTTCTGCTTCTGCGGATCCTTCTGTTGGATTTATTCTATCATCAATAAAGCTATCATCGTACTGGTCATTCTTTTCATCAACCAACTCATCCTCTGAAACTGATGCATCGCCTGACACCCTAAAAAGGAATGGTTAGTGTATAATAATAGCATTTCATATCGCACATTACAGCCATATCATACCGATTAAATAGGAGAAAATCAGAATATGAAGTAAGAAGCACAAATAACAGCATTAACCAGTAATTAATTTCTTATTTACTCAAACTCAAATATAAAGATTAGTAACTTACTCAGCTTCCTCGTCAACGAAGGCGTCAACATGTCTAATTGCTTTTTCTTTCTCACCTACATTTACGAAAATTGTCATTTTAACAAAAAAGAAATACAGTGGTGACCACTACATAAGATAGGATTCACATTAAAGTTTTATTTGGGACAGCTTTTTCATTGATTGCTAAAATAACTTTTTAGTACAAAAAATTTTAAATCAAGATAATTTTTAACTAAAACACTGTTTTAGAAAGCATTAAGAAAGCTATCCCAAACGAACCCTAAAATGACAATCAGCAGCGTAACAATATCTCGAGATTATTCAGCGATGTAACACAGTGAATTATGTTATAGCCTTCTGTGACCCATCTAGTAAGTAATAAAAAAGGAAAATAGAATAAGCATAAAATAATGAAATGCTAAAATATCTTCTCACCGTAGGTACGATTTAATTCGTTATCTTCAGTATTCAAAGCACTGCCACGAGTTTTTTCAACCAATTTAAACCTTTTGTGCAAAGTCTTAACCGGAAGCTTTCTGATTACATCTCCGTGCTTGCGTAATCGCTTATATTTAGGAGCTTGAAAGAATGAAATTGAGGCTTCTCCAGAATTGCACTTCCAATCCTCACTTGAGCTGTGTTTCATTGTTTTAGGAGTATGGACTGCCGCATTTGTTGTATTAGCAAGTCTCTGAACAGCCTCATTTATTGTACAGGCTATGTTACTATCATTTGTATTTTCAAACATGGTATTTTTCACTATTTTCATTTCCTTCTCATTCATGCTAAATGAATCGTTTACAGAGAGCGCATCTAACATGACCACAGAAAGCTTATCGACATGTCTCGGGCCCTGACATCTAGTATCCTTATCATCCTCCAAAGAGTGGCTTAAAAAATGGTTTTTTTCTACCGTGGGCAAATGATGATCTACGTTTAGAACAGGAGACTCTGGAACAATTCCTTCCTTGATGAAATGAGTTAGCCTGGGGCTCAGCTCAATGTAGGTTGCTTCATTTCTTGATCTGCCAACGGATGAAGGCAAAACATCTTCCATATTACTATTTTTTCCGGTAGCTGGTTCATCAGCTGGCTCTCTATGTTTCAACTTACAATCTGGCATTTTAGATAGATGCTTCACATTCTCCTGCTCAATTCGGGTTGCTTGAATAAACAAACTAGATAATGGCCCATTGTTCGATTGCTGCAGATCAGTAGAAGCTTTTACTTCAGGATTTTCAACCTGCATAGTTGGGTTTCCTGATAACTTTAGAGAAGAAGCATCATTTGTGTTTTTAGGCTTAGGTCCTTCAGTCAATAAACCGTTTTCAGTCAAAATAGCTTCAGAATATTTGGATCCTTTATGTTGAAGGACAGGAACACAGGTAATGAGAACGCTTCCTAATGAATTTAGGATAACAGAACCTTCGCCAAAGAGAAAGCAATGAGGTTTCCGCTTCTGGAAAGCATGCTGAGGCCTAGGAGAACTAACTTTCACCTCTAAAACTTCCCCAGTTGATACTTGAAAGGGGGCACCATCACCGTCAGCAGTGCAATGGAAAACAGAGTCTGAAAATATACATAGCAATAATTTTTCATGATTATAAAGGTTGAATGCATATAAAAATTGCCAGTATTTTATCTTCACAAAAATTGCAAGAAAAATATGCTGCATGAAACAATAAAGAGATGCATAAACTACTTAGCAATATACTTACCAAGCTATTATATTCCTATAGTTCTCAATCTAGAAAAGTCCTGTAGGTTGATTTACAGCATAATGAAAAGACTTCAATAAGTGTTACGACCAACCTAGCTAATAACTAGGCATCATGTAGCTACAGATTCATCACAAAATCTAGTGCTATATTATTTTCTCAACAGTCCTGTGACTTCATATATCATGTATTCTCTAGATTGTCTTATGACTCAACAGTTCAGGTCTTGATCAATGAAAGTAGTTTTAGGCACTGCAAATCCCAACTCTGTGGGTTCACCACCTCCTAAAAATACTGACATTATATACAGGGAAAATATATCACGCAAGGGCGGATATGCATATAATACAAATAGCGACAAAAATCAGATTAGGCTTAAGGAAGCTCAAGGTATTTCGCTACTATTACCAAAGCCATCTTCTTTATGCATTTGTCCATTCTGATTAAATAATGGGTATGCAACATATTCTAACTTCTATGTGATATCGTGCAAAAAATAAAACTTGGAATTTATTCTGAATAGTTTATTTTAAATTAAAATTTAGATTTATTTTATTAAAATTGATGTAAAATCCTTTTGAAAAATTATCAGGGTAATTTGGAAAGCATAGATTTAAATTTAGATTTGATCTTATCTAGTAATCACTACTTTCATAAATAGGGGAGTCTGCTGTGTACTAAATCAGTGAATAAAATGAGAATGATTTGAGATCTAAGTTTTCTGGTGGCCTTCCCTTTGAGGATTTCCACCCTGACGGGTATTCGACCAATGGTCTCCATACCCGTCTTAAGAAAAACTTAAATGTATTAAACATAAGGGAAAATAGGACTAACTTTTCAAATAACAACAAAAATTCTAAATAAAATAACTGCATGAAAGAGAATTCTCTTGGATGAAAATCACTTCGTATAATATTATCAAGTTACTTTGAAGTTTTTTAAATAGAGAAATCAAAAGAAAATTTATTTCATTGTGTGGTGTTAAACTAAAAGTTTTAGGAAGCAAATAGCAATTCAATATGCATATAGAATATCTAGTGAGAGATCATGCAGGACCTGCTCGGGTGGGTTCCATTATTTTATACGGTCATTTTTATAAGTAGAATAATAATTAGATTGAATTCTCATATTAGTTTCTTCAAGATAGAAAAGTGTCAGCAATAGGTGATCACGAGATAAACCGTTAGGACATTTAAAACAAACACGTTGACCAAGATTGAATGATCAATACCTTGTGGTCCTTGTCTAATATTATCACGGGGAGTGCTTAATTCATATTGTGGCTGACTTGAGGTCTCAACCTGAACAAAGGTGATTACACAAACGAACTCATTTTAATCATCCACTAAAAAATATTAATAAACAATTCGGATCTTAAAGTACCTCAATAAAGCTATCGTTATTTACTTTAGAAAACGACAGTCCTTGAAGATCTTGCATGGCTTCAATGAACATTGCCGTTGTTTTGAACGAATGTCTCACTCTACTTACTTGAGAGGACAACGCCTGAAAGCTGGGGAAGGCAATAAGAGATGGTTTCCATGTAGCATCTCCAGATTGAGGGAAGTACTTGGAAATTAGATTTAGTTCCTCATTAGATATATTTCTTGAAAATGGTGATCTATCTATGGCTGCATTTTTCACCTTCTTCCCACGGGGAATGAACCGTTCTATTGACATTTCAAGATACTGAACTTGTGGTTTACATATATGGGGAACCTACAAGAGAGTAAGTATAATTACAAGCTATAATACAAATATAAGTAGTTCACTTTCAATAAAATCCAATGATTGATTCAATAAAAGTCAACGATTGCAGACTGATCTTACCATTCTTGGACTAGGATGGAAATTAAAGCTTGTGATTCCTCCATTATGCATATGCTTCCTCATAGCTTTACTGCTAGCTTTTTTCTTCAAATAAGCCTTCAGCTCAGATCCTTCACATGCTAGAATAAGTACTTGAGTCAAAGAAAATCTTCCATGATTACTATGACCGACAATTCCCAAGTAGAATGCAGTGAATAGTAGCACAGGCTAAACGCATGATATATAAGTAGCTAATTAGGAGAGTAATTAAAAAAGGCCCCACATTCTTGTAACTATGTAAAGCTACTTTGACAAAGGATATCAACTCGGCCATCATTCTTCCTGCCAGTCCGTCCCATGCGCTGGATCATTCTCAGGGGTGATACATTGGCATCAAAGCAGATGACAAGGTCAACCTCCATAATATCAAGACCTTCTTCACCTATTGATGTTGCAACAATGACATTGAATCCACCAGAACGAAATTTCTGCAAAAACAAAACGGAATAAAAAAATAACGAAAAAAAATGAAAAAAGAAAAAAAGAAAAAAAGAAAGATAAGAGCCTAATAAAACCTCTAAAACTGCTTGCTGCACTTTCTGAGTCTGCCCTTTTAAAGTTTTCCCTGTAAAAATATGATGGAATATAAATAGAGAACGAATATATGCTTAAACAAATACTGCACTGTAAATTTTGATAAAAAGGGAATCTGAAGCTTCATTAGCATGCTTTTCTTCCACTTGGCTTTTCCAAAACCATACCAATTTTGCTCTATACAGAAAACGCCCTATACCGCCCGTGCACCTCCACCATAGCTTCACGAAAATGGGAAAAACACAAACAGACCAACTTGTTCATCTTTATAAGATAGGAATATATTTTGTACAAGACAGCAGTAACACAGCATTACCAAATAAAGCCAAACAGATTCATTGCTGCTGGTGCAGGTGTTAGAGGCTTTCAGAATTTGAATTTATATCAGCCCAAAGTGAATGCCAAATAAAGTAAAAAAAACGCCAACAAACCTGAGCTCTGCCCTATAAACTCCGTAGCTTTAATCATATCTTCTATGTTGGATAAATAATTCATTATATCTCTGAAATTGTTGTAAGAAAATCAATCAAATTTCATTCCATTAACATGAACATTAGGCGGAAGACTGAGCACTTGAAAAATAAAGGTAAAAAAAAAAAAAAGAATAGCATGCACAGTAGCCAAAGTTTTAACGCAAGCAAAACAGGTGTCAATTACTGGAATTCACAAATTGATGCTTATAGGCGGTATTAGAACAAATCACTCTGTCACAAATTGATGCCTATGGAGTGTTGCAAAGCATTCAAGATTTGATCCTAAGGCAGTATACAAAATAACTTATTTGTATCTCTTCACATCTACTACCCCTCTCCACTACCACTAATTTGCTGCCCACAAATAAATAAACAAATAAAATGATCGTACCTACCTTTCTTTAGTGCTTGCACGCTATTGTAGATGCATCAACCAAATATCCAACATGAATGTCCAATTAAACTTGGATTCACATCTGCTTTGGGCTGATACAACCCAACTCAAATACTTAGCCATTCAGAAGGACACTGGATTTGATTCAAACCAAGGTTTACATGAGTTGATTTTACTTGTTGAAAGGCCTATTCAAGCTCAAGTCAATCACAGATTTAAGTTGAAGTGTTCAAGAGAAAATGCATTTGTAGAAAATTCCGCCTAAAAAGTTCAGTAGGCTTTTTCTTGAAGGATCACCAAAAAAAAAAAAAAAACTTGATGATAGTGTCACTTGCAGAATATTAGAGTTGCATGGTGAATGCACTAATTGACAGAGCCCAGGATGGTACGGAGAAGCATTCTTCATCATTAGCCCAAGCTCGTTGTTTCTCTAATGCCTTCAATTTGAATCCCAACAACAAGCCAAACCCAACTAGTTGGGAAAAGGAGAATAATAATAATGTGATTAACACACCAGCTGCATTAGTGTTACTCAACAGCCAACCATTGGCGTAATAAATTTGGTCACCTTGGACAAAACATTTGCCTTGATGACACAAAGTGATGAGGACATCAGAGATCTACGGCTACGATCGTGCCTATTTATTTTGATCTATTTTATGCATTTGATTTGTTATTGTTTTTTTTTTTTTCCTTTCTACCCTCACTTGAGGGCTTTGTCTTATATATGCCCAAGGGGCAATAGTGTCTTTGTTATTTCCCTTCATGTATTTGACTATTTAAAGCCTCCCTCTTCTTCTTGGAGGGTAATGAATGAATGAGAAGAAAATTCCTGCACATGTGTTCTTTGAGTTGTGAGAGTTCTTGGAGAGAGCTTTGGAAAAATCCCCAGGGAGGGAAAATGGATCACCCACCAACCTTGGAGACGGTCGGGTTAGTGGTTTGTTTTATCGTTCTTTTTCTTTCAATCTCCTTTCCTCTTAGCCGACGGATTCCCTAGCCAACCCCCACCCCACCTTGCCGCCAACCAACTTCCCCCACCACCAAGCCATGCCAACTTCCCCCACCACCAAGCCATTCAACCCAACCAAATCCCCTCTAAACCGCCGGCAATAACCCCTCTTCCTTTCTCGGCCAAAACCACAACCCCACCGGCCACTCACCACCCAAGCCCTCACCCGCTGGCCCTACTTGCCCCTCCTTCCTTTCTTTCCAAACCTCCTATAAAGAAAGAATTGAAGACTTACCTAATTTAGATCTTCTTAAATTTGGAAAGATTTCAAATTTCAAATTCAAATAAATTTGAATTTGAATCTTTTCCTAAAATAAGATTAATCTAATTTGGATACTTTCCAAATCTCTTCAAATTTGAATTTAATTGGAGACTCCCTTTAATCCTCTTCCCTTATTTAATATCCTATGTTTGGAAAGAGTCTTAAATCCCCAATCAATTTCCCCCCATGCATGGCCGGTCCCCTCTATCTATTTAATTCAATCAATTAAATTAGACATTTGCCTCTAATCCTCTTTCCTTATTTAACATCCTAAGTTTGGAAAGGGATTTTTAAATTCCCCAATTCAATCAATCCATATTAACTCCCTAGACCCTCAAAACCAGCCATCTCCAACCTTCTCTCAGCCCCAGCCGCCCCTCCCAGTTCTTTACCACGTGGCCCTCAATTTTCCCTGATTTTCTGCTTGTTGTCCCCCTATTCCAGCAAGAATATCTTGCTCTCCAGAACAGATTTCTGCATTCTGGACAGATTCTAGCTGCTGTATTGAAGTTTATACACAGTAAACTGCTGTCCAAAGATGGGCAGCTTTCTGCCCTTCACTCCAGCAAGACTTCCTTTACCGTACCACCACCATGAAGGCTTCTCACTGTTGTCCTGATCTTCATGTGATGCTGTTTACACATCTTTACTTGCTGTCCAGAAATTTCTGGATGCTAATAGTGGCTGTCCACCCTTCCAAAACCTAGAAAGCTGCTGTCCAAGGCCACCTATCTGCTGTTCAAAGACTCAGAGCAGCAGTTCGCTGCTGTTCAACCCCTCTAGGAGCTACCGTTGCTGCCTGGAACTGTCCAGAATCGCTGTCCCAGGTTGGCTACTTGCTGTCCAGAATTTCCCAAGTGTCAAAGTTGTTGTCCAGCAATCGTAGCAATCTCCTATTGCTGTTTCGCTGGCTTTAAAGTTCAGATTGCTATCCAACGACATCGAGAAGAATCGAGGTTGCTTTCTACCTCCGCTCAAGCACATAAACACCACACCGGAGCTTTGAATGTCTTGTTTATTTGGGTGATCTTTCCTCCTACTCTTTTATCTTTTAGTCGCTCTCAATTGTAGTTCTAATTGACTCATGGAAAATTGTATCAATTATTCCCGCTAAAGCCTAGTATTTAGTAGGAGTTGTGTAAGAGATCTTTCATAGCACTACTCTTATTGTTAGATTAGGGATTTCTTGTTGAAACTCATTTCGTTTGCAACGTCAAGAATAATTGATTGTTATGTAGTTTTTATTTTTTTTAAAGTGACTTGGCCTAAGCTTTTGTTATCGCTCTTCTGTTTTATTTCATTGTCTAAATCAACATCAAGCTATAGTTAATTTGCTCTTACTCATTAAGCGTGCAAATTCCTTATCTAAATCAAATATTCATGCATGTCCTACATCACAAAGTCTTTCCTGTTCATATACTATCAAAATTACATTATAAGTCTCCTGGTAACCAAATGCATATTAAACGTTGATCAGCAATTATTAAATCAATCAATCACCAAAAGACAGTCATGAATGACGAAAAAGGACATGCATTTGATAAATTGAACTTTACCTAACACTTCCCCTGAAGTTTGAGAAAATGATAACTCTCGAGTCATTGGGATTTTTTGTTTCTGCATCAGTAGAAATAAAAATTGGTTCATTTCACCATGTCTCTTTAGCATAAATCTCAAAAGCAAGAATTAAACATCTCTTATAAACAAAAAAAGGAGGAAAGAAATCAAGAACAGGTAGGGATATATTATCAAATAAAGAACAAGTATGAATGGTTTTCCAATGAGGATGCTTGAATGATCTCTTCACTTTGATTGTTCAAAGGAGCCATCTGCATCACTAATTTGGTGTTTTTCTTTGATTTCAGGATCACTACTTCAATCAATCAAACATGTATTCTTTGATTTCAGCTAAGTTCTAGTTTATCAATAGCTGGGGTCTTGATTGAAATGGGTATTACTATACTTTTGGCGAAGGAAATTTGGATGGGTTCTATTGCACATACTTATTAGCAGAACATAGAATTTGAGTACATGCTTTCATAATAGTTTTCATGAAAAAAAATTTCACTGCTTCAAAAAATGTTTCAAGGCTCGCTTGGAATTGAAGAAATCGTCTTCTCTTGATTAAAACAAGTAGGGTATAAGGAGGATTTAAATGAACAAAATCTACCTTCAAACATTTTTAAACCACTTCTAATCAGATTTGCACACAAGACTTTGAATCTATTTTAGATCTTGTCATGGAACCGCACTCTTCCTTCGAAGTCCTCAGCCCAAAGGAGGTGATCAACACCTCATCTGCATGCAATATTATTGATCGAAATTCCTCAAATGTACTTATTTATCATGATCATCCTGTTGTTCGAGATATTGATTATCTAGATTCGCAGTCTTATAACTGTAAAATTAGCATTTCTACTATAGAAGAATACAACAATAAGACCAAGACTTTATCCCACTACGTGGGATTGGCTACATGAATCCTTTTTCTCCATTTTGTCCTGTTAAGAGTCAAATTCTCATTTCTAATTAAGAAATGTCATTTCTAATATTTTCTAAACAAGTTTTTTTAGGTCTACCTCTACATTTCATAACATAAGCCAAATCTAATACAGCTACCTCCTAACCGGGTCATCGGAAGGCCACTGTTTTATATGGCCAAACCATCTAAGGTGAATCTCTCTAATCTTATCTTCCACTGGAGCTACTCCAACCTTTTCACGTATATACTCGTTTCGTATCCTATCTCTAAGAGTAAAGTCACTCATCCACATGAACATCCTCATCTCTGCAACACTTAACTTAGTATCATGCTTCTCTTTTAATGGCCAACATTCTTATGTCATAAAGCATTGCATTTCTACTATAGAAGAATAAAGGAATAAAATGCATCAAATTCTCTTTGCTAAGAGGGACAAAAATGGAAATAAAATATATCATCGCTCTCCAAAGTTTACAAACCTTCAAGGCATATACTATAAATGAGGATTCTAAAAGTTCTCTTCCTTCAAGACTCTTCCTTTGTTGCTATCTCGTTATCTTTGATTGGATATATTAGTTTATTATTTTTCAACAAGAAATTATTTGTAATTACTTGATGTTGTACTCATTTCATTGACAGATTATAAAATCTTTACTCAACAAAAAAACTAAACTAAACTAAACTAAAGAAACCAATAAGAAAAGGATGAATCTAGAAAAATATATGAGCCTAAAAACCTCTATCCTATCTATTGTCTTTTGGCCCACTTTTACTTATCATTCAAACATGCAATATGATCCCAATTGGTCTTTACCAAATACAAATCAAGTGAATGATGTAGAACTAAATGAAGGCGCACATGCTGCAAAATTAGAAATTACATATTTATAAGCAAAACCCTAAAAAATAATTAGACTTAAGCAATCAATTACATGATAATAGGAGAATCGCAACATAATCAAGTCAAATAATTTCATGTTTAATGCAAGCTCTCAAAGATAATCCCTCAATTAACAATTATGCTAGTCACTACAAATATGGGCTTTGCGGATTAGTCTTCATAATCAAACAAAGCAATGATTGAGGAGTCAAAGATATAAGATTATGAAGAAAGTTTACCATCCTCGTAATCCTGGCTCTCGTTCTAACATCTTTTGGAATCCGGTCGTCGAATGTTCGGGGTTGCACCTTGAGACAAGTAAGCCTTGTAATCAACAATGGGTTAAGGATTTGGGGTGAGTGTATGGAAAGGGGAAAACACGTGCTTTATATTTCTTGCCAAAGGGAAAAATACCAAGATAGGAAATAGAGTTATAGGGGGGCGGGTGGAGGGTTGTGGCCGGCCATGGGGAGGGGACTTTATTCCTTGTTTGGAGAGTTGATTAAGAAAGGGCAGCAATCAACAAAATCTAAAATCAATTCCAGCAATTAGGAGAAATCTAAATTAAATTAATTACTTAGGTGGCTTGCGGAATTAAAGCAAGAATCAATTAGAATTGATTAGAATTTAAAGTTTGTTGTAATTGATTGGAGAGAATTAATTGGCAGGAGCACATAAGGAAGGAAATAAATAGGGAAGAGGATAGGGATGGTGGGGTGGCCAGCATTGATTGGGGGAATTGATTTGGGGACTTAATGGAGTTGCCAATCATAGCCCGCTAGTTAAGGAAAGTAGATTTATGACAAATCTCCATTCAAAATTTAAATGAGTTGATTGGGGGGAAATTTACTATCATGGTTCCTCCTTTTTGGAAAGGAACTTCTGATGCGAACATCCGACGGTAGACGATATTCAAAGGAAGAGTCGAAGATCGACGACCGAGATTACTCCGTTTTATTTTAGTTTATTAATTGTATTTTGATTTAATTTTGTAATTTTTCCCTTTTTATCCTTTTATTTAAGAGTTTTGTCTTACGTAAGCCTAAGGGGCAAATGTGTCTTTTAGTTTCTTGTGAGACCTATATATAAAGGCCCCTTCTCTTGTATTAGGTATGATGGAATTATAATAAAAATTTGTGTTCTACACTTGTGTTCTTTTGAGAGGATGATAGTGAGATTCCTATGGGAAGGAATCAGAGTTTTCACCAACCGCAGGATAGGTCCAGGCTCGTGACTTGAAATCCCTTGGAGAAGGGAAAAGTATCACCCGTCAGTCTTCGGAAGAGTCCAAGGCTCGTGGTTTTATCTTTTATCTTTTGTTTCTTTATTTTTGTTCATTCTTGTTGTTCCTAGTCGTCATCTTCATCCTCTACCTACTTCAACCAAACCGGCCTTAGCTCCACCACCACTCACGGCCAAGCCACTATACCGCCGTCGACCCCTTCTTTGGTTTCCCTCCCAACCCTTGCCATTAAACCTTTCCTAAATTAGCTTTTATAATTTAGGTAATACAATTAAGGCAAATTCAAATCTATTTGAATTTGAAATTACTACCTAAATTGGAGATCCTAATTTTGGAAACTTTCCAAATCATAGCCTTTTGAATTTTAAATTAGCTTGGGATGAAATATTTCTTCCCAAAGTTAATTTATTAATTTAAGAAAGCTTTGATTGCCTCTTTAAACCACACCTCCTTTCCCTATTGCCGCCGACCCTTCATCCAACCAAACCCAAGCCCAAGCCGCCCCCTTTCCTCTTTGGAATTTCTCTCCATCATTGCCTACAATTAATCCTTTCCTAATTGGGTTGAATAATTTAGGTAACTCAATAACTTTGAAAATTCAAATTTATTTGAATTTGAAAAGTTACCTAAAATATCATTCCTATCTTAGGAAAGTTCTCAAATCCTCTCTTATTGATTTTAATTTAAATTAGGATGAAATATCTCATCCCAAATTTGATTCCATAATTTAAGGAAGCATTAAAAGATTCCTTAAACTCCTCCCTAGCCCATTAAGCCGCCGGCCCCATCATCATTAAGTCCTTGGATTTATTTCCTAAAACCAATCTCACCTTTTGGAAATAATTCAAACCTCTTCTCCCCAAATTCAAATTATTGCTTAAAATAAAATTCTATTTTAGGAAACTATCCAATCAAATCAAAATCAAATTTGAATTAGATTGGAAGTAATTCATCCCTCCTTAATTGGGAGTCCCAAAGAGGCAAAGCATTAACTCTTCCAAATCTCCCCCACCCCCTTACCCATTCTACATCAACTTCAAATTTTAAGGTCATTAAAATCTGAATTCAGATTTTTCCAAATTTATGATGCTCTAAATTTGGAAAGTATTGAATGATCAATTTGAAATTTGAAATTTTGGAGCCAAAGGATAGAGGGGGATGGTCGGCGGCTATGAGGAGGGAGGTGAGCCGGCGGTTAGGGGTCGGCCAAGGAGAGGGCCACTATCTATGGGGATGGAGGGGGTTCAGCGGCTAGGGATAAGCCAAGGGGAGGGTCGACGGTTATGAGGAGGGAGGAGGGCGATTGGTTGGAGCTTTGGGGAAGATGAAGGTGGGGGTGAGATTGTGAGGAAAGAAGAAATCCGCGATGGCGATAGGCCGTGAGCCCGGATGCTTCCTGCAACTGACGGATCTTGCTTGGCCCTCACCTAGGAACTTCACATAAACTCTCACAAGATCTCTCAAAACTCACCAAGACACAAAGTGTAGAAATTTCATTCATCATCCCCTTCCCAAAGGAGGGAAGGTCTATAAATAGACATAATACAATAAAATATCAAATGACAAAACTGCGCCCTTGGGGTCACATAAGCCTACTCCCTCAAGTGAGGATAAATACAGAAAAATACATAATAAAAATTAAATACAAATAAATGCTCAGAAATAAAGTAATACAATCATAGTCGTAGATCTCCGACCCCTTCTCTGATAAACCTTCCGCGGTCGGATGTCCTCATCGGTGAAATTTTAGAAGTCTTGTAAACAAAGTGATAAATTTATAATATTCATCTTCAATTTGATTAAGATGTCAACTAGCACACATTTAAGTGCTATATATGAAACAACTATATAAACCAGAGAGTTTATTAAGGAAATGGTAAATGAATGATTTCCATCAAACCAATAGGCAACTCTATGCAAAGTTTGTCATTGCGGAAGCTAAAGCACATTAGTTTAGTCCTTTGAGTGTAAAATTGTAGCTCATTTGTAAAACCTTAGTATAAGTTACACTT